ATAAAATTTATTGAATTGTACATTAATGTTATTGTAATGTTTGAGTTGTAAATAATAATGAGAAAAAAATATTTAAATAAAACAGTAAAAAAAATTTTTTATAGTAAACAAATACTTTTAATTTGTTATTTCCAAACCTTTTATCATCCTCTTCTTCTTTTTTGTATCTAACGAATTAATTAGTTTTGTTTACTATTCAATAGAACAAACAATAACTAACAATGGCATTGAAACTCCCACAATCTTTGATCTATTCAATGTGAATCTATTTTTTTTTTTGTGATTAATAATAAATTTAACTCAGGATGAATATAAAAATTGTTATAACACTATTTTTAAAAGACATTAGTATTTTTCATAGTGTTATTTTAGCTACACAAAAAAAACTTGAAATATACATAACTTATTTCTAAGAATTTAAACATTCAAATTCTTTAATTATAATAAACCATAATCGAGGGTTTTAAATGAATATTTTTTTACATATTGAACTTAACTCAAAAATAGACAAATAAATTTTTAATATGAAATCTGATGGAACAAAACCAAGTCGAACAAGAAAAATAACACAACCTGTCATCTCCTTACCTAAAATTCATAAGAGTAACAAAATGATTGAAAAAAAATTCACTAATAATTTAATTTATAATGAGATATTAGACACTCTTTCAACACAAAATGCAGAAATGTTTTATCAAAGGGTTATAGAAAAAATATCAAATGAGAATAAAACAATTAATGAAGAAGTTAGTGAGATTAAAAAAAATAAGAACAATAGTATTAAAGAATATATTGAGCAGATTATTAGTCATAAAGAATATGAAAAATTAAAAATAACTATTCAAAGAAAAATGATAGTATTAATACCAACAATAGAAGAAAATATTTTATTAGAAATTGTTGATAATATTATTTATAATTTATTAAAGTATGGTAGTATGATTCAACATTGGAAAGAATTTTCTTTTGATATTGATAAAACAAAAATACAAAATGAAATAATAAAACAAATAATAAAACAATATAAGAAAAATGAAATTATATTACAATCATTATTTGTTGATTCAATTATGAAATTCTCAGAAAAATTGTTTTGTAAAGAACCAATTGAAATAAAAGATATTTATCCTAATAATATATGTATAGATGAAAGTTATATTATTTTTGATTTATTATTATTCAAAGAAATAATTGAAAAAGGATATGGAATGTATGAATCTTATTTTAATAATGTTGCAATTCAAAGATTTATTGAAAGTAAATTTGGGGTTATTGAAAAAAAAGTTCAAATTCAAATTATTAAGAATCGAATTGGATTCTTATTGTTTCTTTTTAACATTTAATAATTTTTTTTTAAATATATAATTCACTCTTGTTATTGTAATAATAAACATTTAATTTTAATTTTTAAAGAGACAAATAAATAAAATTATAATTTAAATATCCAATTCTTTTTATTTCATTTTATAAAATAAAATATTTTAATAAAATATTTTATTATTCACAAAAAAATAGATTGGATTGATAAATCATTCATCGGTAAAATTACTGAATATTTTGTATCTATTTTCTGAAGAACTAATTTACAAATTTTTTCTCCAATTCTTAATATATCTTTAGAACCAAAAACTTTTTGATGATAAAAGATAGTTTGATACATATTTATTCCAACTTTTGAAATTCTTTTAGTTGTATTTTTTTCTTTAAAATAATATCCATATTCTACCAATAAATCTTGCATTAAATTTAATGACTCTATAATTCTATTTTTCTTTGCTCTTACTAATGCTACTTTTACTGGAACATTCATTGATACTTCAAATGAAACTATTTCTTTTATTCTTCTTTCAATAAATTCATGATAATCTACTGTATCTTCTTCTGATAATTGAATACGAACAACTTGAAGAAATGGCAACGCAACGAGAGTTCTTCCAGCTTGTTTCATTACTTCAATAGATCCATGCTTGTTCATTAATCCTATATAGAATGCCATTAATGCTGATTGATAATTTCTATTCCTTTTATAACGATCTTTATCAATGCATCTTATTGTTTCCATTGTTAAATAATAATTATTTAAGTTTTATTTTGTTTTTAAATTTAAAGTAATTACTTTGAGTTTAGAATTGCATATGCAAAGTTGTTGAATCTCCGCATTTCTATATTTATACTAACATCTTCTTTTCACTCTTTCTTTTTTTTTATCTAATTCTTTATTTATTATTCTCTTATTATTTATTTTTAGATTAACTACTTCATTCTAAACTATTGTTTACACTTTTTATTGATATTATGATATTCTCAAAACTTTTACTTTGACTCTTTTTTTATTACTTTCATTTCTTCATTGTCTAGATTGTTTCCATTCTTTCACCTCAACTCTTTCTTCATAAAAAGATATAAACCATTATTCCTTAGCAATTAATCACTTTTTCATTTTCTAAATAGCAAAAAATTATAAAAATTGTTTTTATTTTTTTCTTCTTCATTGAAAAACACAAATTTCTTTCATTATATTTGATATTCAAACCTCAATTTTATTAATATAGAAATACAATAGTAAGAAATAATAAATACACCAAAAACTCAATAAAACAAGAATAAAAAAAGAACGGAAAAAGAGAACAGAAAAAGTAAAACTAAAGTAATGAGTGCCAAGCAAATACAAAGAGGTTCTGAAGAAGAGTTACTTGAATCTGAAGAAAATTTAAAAGAAAAAGTAAACGAAGAGGAACATGAAGAGGAAGAAGAAGAAGAGGAAGAAGAAGAAGAAAACGCTGCTGTCCCAATAAGAAAACTTATTGGAATAGCTGGAATTACTGAAGGTGATTGTAAAAAATTAGAAGAAGCAGGATTTTTCACTGTTCAGTCAATTGCTTTTACACCAAAGAAACAGTTAATTACAATAAAAGGAATTAGTGATGCTAAAGCTGATAAATTACTTGCTGAATCATCTAAAATAGTTCCATTAGCATTCACTAATGCAGCTGAATTAAATAATTTAAGAAAAGAAACTATTCGAATTACTACAGGATCAAGAGAATTGGATAAATTATTATGTGGAGGATTTGAGACTGGAAGTATTACGGAATTATTTGGAGAATTCCGAACTGGAAAAACACAACTATGTCATCAATTATGTGTCACTTGTCAATTAGGAATAGAAAATGGAGGCACAGAAGGAAGAGCTATTTACATAGATACAGAAGGCACATTTAGACCAGAGAGACTAACACAAATTGCAGAAAAATATGGATTAAATTCAGAAGAAGCATTAAATAATGTAGCTGTAGCACGAGCACATAACACAGAACATCAAATGCAATTATTACAAATGGCTAGTGGATTAATGGCTAAAGAAAGATATGGACTATTAATTATTGATTCTGCAACAGCATTATATAGAACTGATTATAGTGGAAGAGGAGAATTAGCTTCAAGGCAAATGCATTTAGCTAAATTTTTGAGGGCATTACAAAGGATTGCGGATGAATTTTCTGTTGCTGTAGTATTAACTAATCAAGTTGTAGCACAAGTCGATGGTCAAGCAAGTATGTTTGGAGGAGATACTAAAAAACCTGTTGGAGGGAATATTATTGCACACGCAAGTACTACCAGATTATATTTAAGAAAAGGAAAAGGAGAAGCACGTATTTGTAAGGTTTATGATTCACCATGTCTTCCAGAAAGTGAAGCGTCATTTGCTATTACTACTAATGGGATTGAAGATGTTAAAGATGATTAAAAAATATATTGTGAATGGAGAATGAAATTCAATTAATTTTGTTTTGGTTTATCTTTTTTTCATTTGAAGAATTTAGTTGAAGTTTTAAAGATTTAAAATACTGTAAGAAGCCAAATAAAGAATAAGATTTATAAGGTGTTCTATAATCGTCATTAAGAATAACTAGTTGCATTGATTGAATCTTAAAAGTGATATGGAAATAGCCTAAACAAAATGCCATAACACGAACAATGGCAATATAAATGAAAATTATTACAATAGAATCAATAGTTGGAACATATAAAGTATAAAAGAGAAGGTTTACAACTCCTGTTATAACATTTGCTATTAAAAACAATGGAAGTTGATTTAAACTAAGTCCATTAGAACCAGCAGTTTGTTTAACAGGAAGGTACATTGGAATAACATCACAAATAGCATAACAAATCATCATTTGAGACATTAATGCAATAAAGTAAGTTAAATTAATTAATGGACGACAAGGAGGAATATAAATGGAAATAACTTCATAAGCAATATAACCAATAAATGCTATAATAACAATAATAACATCTAATTTAAATCTATATTGTTTAGTACATCCAAGTGTATAATAATATCCCATTGCAGTACTTGCAATTTGAATTGCAGTATATCCAATAATACTTAAAAACCCTTCTCTATTTGCAGCAAATAAATTAGACATTCTATCTGCTGTAAGTGAGTAATTATATAAATCAAAGTATTGAAGAATTATTTCATATCCAATGATTAATATAATTGAAACAATGCCACAGTACTTCCTTGATGAATTAATTAAGGAAGTTAATATTTGTACAAAACCTAATACAAAAAAGAAATTCATATGCATTCCATATTCACTTATATGATGTTGATAACCAGTTATACTTGTTGCAAACAAACGAATAAAACCTATTATAAAAAAAGGTAATGAGTGTATAACATTTGATATTAAATTTTTAAAATATGGAGTTTGATTCTCTTTTAATCCAGCAGCTACTCCACTACATACAACAATTGCACCAACTCCTGTATCCATTAAAGACAATCCATAAAATTCACTTTTAGTATGCATTCGAGGAAATATATGAAAATCAACTGCAAGAATTGCAATTAAAGTCCAAAGATTAATCATACTTCTAAACTCAACAAATCCAACTGATATAACTGGATATATTGTTGGTGATTGTCTTTTTGGATAATGGTAACAAACAATTAAATAAATAAGTGTTAAAATAATGACTAATGGATATACTATTGAAGAAAAAAACATAGGAATTAATATTGCTGGAATAGATATAAATAAGTCACTTAATATATATATCATAAAATGTGAATGAAGAACCGGAAAATAATGATGTAATAAATGATGAAAATAATTTAAATATATATTAATTACAAACATAGACAATAACAATAAATAACTACTTCCACTATAATCACTTACAAATTTTATTTGTTCAATTTTATATTGTTCATCTGAAATATTTGGCTTATAAAAAATTGGCATTGTTTTATTATTATTTCTTTATTATTTTTTTTAGTTCTTTTGTATTAAAATAGTTTTTTTTTATTATTAA